GCTACACATCAACTCTGTAATATTACAACTCTGTAATATTACATTCAACATGCAGGTTATCATGTTTAGAGATAAGTAGGCGCTGAAACTGGGGGCAGGAAATGAAGAATGAATGGGATTAAGTGTTGTGCTGTATTGGGTGTAGCATGGCAAGGTTTTTACTGAGGAATACTTCAGATTTCTTAGCTGTTGGAGAGTAACACCATTTTGGATGCCAAGAAGTGGGTGCCCAGGTTCAGGAAATGTGAATTAGGGGGGATTCAGGTACAGGGACCAGAAATCAAGATAAATGAGTTATTGGTAAGTAGACTGAAGTGGTGGGAGTAGATTAAATCACCGTAAGGAAAAAGCCAGTAGAGCAAACTCAGTTCTGTGAGGGGTAATCTCTTGTTAGAAAATGTCACTTTAATCTCGTAGGATTATTTAAACTGTATCATTGTATGCCTTTTTAAGATTTTATGAGAAATACATAAAACACAGTTAAATTAATTTATGATTATACTGAATTGTTAATTTTTTCAACTTTGCTTCAAACATTGGGTACAAATGGTGAGTCTAACAGACATTTTAGATGGGTATATTAAAAAGGCTTTACAGATGACATTCAAACTGGCATTGGACACTTGATGGGACCTGTTACCACCAGTAGTTATAGCGTGCAGGCCTTTTGAAACAGAAGTGTGGCACACAGTCAGCTAGAGCCTTAGTTTCACAACAATTTTGATTTACAGGTTCGGACAGGATTTTTGAGGTAAAGGTTTAAAAAAAAAAACAGTAAATTGCTCCTTTGCCTGACCAACATCATACTCTCTATTTCAGGATATGACTGAACTCCAGAGCTTCCAAATCCAATCTTAGAGGGATGTTTACTTATATTTCAAACGTAGCCTTTTATTTAAGTAATAATTGGCAATGTAATTTGGTATATGTTTAAAGACAAATACAAAAGTAAGAGCATTAGCATGACCCAAGTCAAGTGTAGTTGATGTCGGAATTCTCTTTATTTTTAATTATTCTATGCATCTTTTATATGTGAATATTATAAAATATTTTCACAAAATAACTATAACTGTTTCTCACAAAACTGATGGAAAAGTCAGTCAGATGTATTACTTTAGCTTTAACAATTCGACACTTTAAAAGTTTCAAATCCAGTGTATTTGAATTGTTGACTCCCTTGGTTACTTCTCAGCCTTGAACTTACTTAATTCCTCTGTGCATTTGACTCTTTTCTGTGACCTCCAAAGTATTCTCCAAATATATTATCATTTCTCCAAATGTCCTATCATTTCTCCTCTGCTGTTTTTGTGCATTTTCCTCAGCCCTGTACCTAAATGTTGGTATCACTGAGGTCTGTCCTTAAGCCACTTTTCTCCTTTTTTGATAACACCCTCTATTAGGCAGTGTAGTTGTTTTTTTCAAACTGTAAATCCCAGAGTCGTTTGCAGCCTCTCTTCACTCAACATCTTCCTCTTCCCTACTTTTAACAAGTCAATTTAGTTAGTGAACATTCTAGTTTAGCTTCAGTTTCTCTTCAAACCTGTCCTTTCTTACTAACCTTACTATCACTGCCTTTGTTCAGAACCGATCATTTCTTTTCTGGACACTTCTGATCAGCAAACATTAATTGAGCGTCCCCTCTGTGTCAGGTGGTATTCTGGGTACTAAGAATATAAAAATGGTTACGTTTAGATAGCATTAAGAGCAAAAGACAAACAAGTATATGCAATTAAAGCTTTTAATGCTTGACTTAATGGGAATTTGATCTCATGCTACATATTTCATAAGGTACATAAAAATGCATCAGACATGTGGACAGTTTTACCTCTTGTAAAGAAATGGTCTAAGAATCTCGCACAGGGTTGAATACTGCAATGAGCCAGCATAGAACCGGCAGCAGTACCCCGCAGAAGGATACCTTCAGGTTCCTGTTAGTTCTCCCTGTGCGGGGCCAGCGTGTCTTGCTTCAATGTTTGTGTTGCTCTCTTCTTTCTAGTGTTTCATAATCATTACTGGGAAGCTGCCAAGAGTGCAGGACAGGATTGTATGCACATTTTCAATATATATGAAGGTATTTGTATAGAATATCCCTTGATGGAATGGTTGTATGAGACATTTGTATAAGATATAGAAGTCATCTGGGGTGGAATTGCTAATTTATTGTGAGGTAGGTCAGGGAAGCCTAAAAGTGACCTACTTGAGCAAGGACTTGAAAGGGGTGGGACAGAGCCAGGAGGTTGTATGAAAGCACCAAAGTACACGTTGATAATGAGGAATTTCTTAGCTCTTAGGTACAATAGATAAGGAAGACTTTGGCTAGAGGAAATGAAGGCAGCAGGGCAAACAGGAGCTAGGCAATCCTGAAGGGTTTTATGTGCCAGGCTGAGGAACTGGTGGACAGTGCAGAACTTCTGAAGGGTTTTCATCAGAGGAGTGCAGTCAGATTTATGTTTTAGAAGTAAGTTTTTGGTGGCAGGATCCTAACTTCAGTGAGCCCTGCCCCACTTCCCATACTCTGTGACCAGAATCAGCTTGGTAAAACACTGACCTGACCTTGTAAATCCCAGCTTAACACTTAAAATGACTCCCAGATACTGAAGTCCACTTTTCTTCCATTACTTTGAGGAAACTTGCCATTTCTTCTTAGTTTAGGAGGCACCACATAGTTTCTTAGGTTTATACATGTCTGTGCTGAAATATCACCTCAGAGAGACCTTCCCAGGCTCCTCCATCACTCCTTAGTTTCTTACCTTGCTTTTTTTTTTTTCTTCTCTGCACTCAGTAGCCCCCAAAGTTGCATGTTTACTCTTTTGAGTATTTCTGATCTTCCACCTGGAATGTAAGTTCCATGAGGACTGGAGTTTTTGTCACCTCTCAGTGTTCTGTGCTAGGCGCATGATCGGTGTTCAGTATTTGTTGAAAGAATGTGGCCCTAACCATTTCCCTCTTCCCTCCCTTTCACCCTGTGCTTCACATTTCCATAGGGGACTTCTCACAGTTCACTCCTTAGGTATTCCTCCTCATTAAGTCCCATTTATTCCTCAAGCTCCATTTCAGAAACTACCTTTTTTGTTAAAAAAAAAAAAAAGTGGTCAAGTAGTCAATCTTTCTCTTTAGCTCCCATAACACTCTTTGAATATTTATAGGACTATTTTTCTGGGCTTCCCAGGACGTGATAAGTGAAAATAAATATCTGTTAACAACTTCTTAATTAACCAGTAGAGAATTATACACTGAGGCAGACAAACATTACTGTATAAGTAAAAATTGAAATTCATTTGGTTAATTGGAGCAATGCAGTAATTAGGTATGACTTGAATTTGATCATAAATGCAATATGATTAGGAGAAAACAGCAGAAAAATGGTTACCAATTTCTGTTATATATGCAGTTATACAGTCTATAGAAAGTATCTATTTACACATATGTATACACACACACCATATTACAAATTTACTCCTTTTTTTGGTAAAAATACCATGAGCTGTGATACAGAAAAATAAAAATAGACAAGTACTGAAGAAATTACTTGCAAGGGACAATTTTAAAAAGCATGCTAAAATTTCATAGTTATTTTTCATCATCTTTCTGCATAAAGTATTACTTTTTTACATATGTCATTGAAAATATAAAATACCTAGAAATGTTTTTTGTTTGTTTGTTTGTTTTTTGAGTTGGAGTCTCACTCTGTCACCGCAGCCTTGACCTGCTGGGCTCCGGCGATCCTTCCACTTCAGCCTTCCAAGTAGCCGGAACTACAGGCATGCGCTACCATGCCCGGCTTATTTTTTGATTTATTGTAGAGATAAGGTCTCGCTGCCCAGGCGGGTCTCGAACCCGCGGGCTCAGGCAATCCACTCACCTCAGCCTCCCAAAGGCACGGGATTACAGGCTGAGCCACCGAGCCCAGCTAGAAATGTTTTTGTTGAATCAAAATAAAAGCACTATACACAGTTCAATTTCTACTTTATAAAAGATGATATAATTCCATTTGAAAAGTTCAAAATGTAAAAACTTTGGGTAATTATTGTCCTGACTAATGGAAAGGTACAGAGGCATAGCCTGTAAATTACTTTGGTCTTCCAATTCTGCATGGGTGTCTGATGATTTTTAAATTTACCGTAAATGATTCATTTCTGCTATGAAGTTCTGGCTAAGGCCTTTTTGTGAAGTTGTCCAATTTCCCATTTCTGAACTCATGTTCCTCTTCTACACACAGTATCTTTTTTCTCAAATGAAAATCATACTGAATTGTTGAGTTTTCATTTAACTTTTTAGTTGAGACACAAACTATGAAAGCTAATAATTAAGTAGAATTACTGCCTAGTCATAAAAGCAAAAGTTGCCAGTAATTACAGATAACCTCTAGTATCTGTCAAGAGCAAATATAAATACCAAAAGTCAATTTTATTCTTGTTTTAATATTTGAGGGACTGCATTAGATGACTGGAGGACCATCTGCAGGTGCCAGCAGAGCTTTGGGACATCATCACGATGAGATGAAAATATATAAACATGGGAAACTGAAGATGATGAAGATTCATTTTTTATTTAGGGTTGTACCTGTTTATCAATAACATAAATGATGCTGAGATGCATCTTGTAGAGAATAGCAAAGAAAACATGATTTTTCACATAATTTATTACAGATTTTTTGTTTTTACCCCTAATGATGGCTAACTATGTTTGAGAGGGGGAAAAAAATCCTAGTAGATCTGTTAATTGGGAATCACCATACTACAATGTATGTAGTATAAGTAAGCATTTTCCTATGATGAGCTCATAAGCTTTTAAATAAACATTATGAAGAGTTTTATCCCTTCCTTTGTTTTTCTTAATGAAGATATGAAAAGAAGATTTTGGAATGATTTATGTAAACTTGAAGTCAATTTTAAAAGTTAATTATTTTAGAGAAATATTTGAGGAGATGTTATAATACATTAGAAACTTTTGCTTTATATTTTTTAAAGGATTTTTATGGTATTTTGTTTGTTTTTCAGAGTAAAGCCTATCCCAGCTGAAGGAATCAAGTCAAATCCTTCCAAGCGGCATAGAGACCGACTTAATACAGAGTTGGACCGTTTGGCTAGCCTGCTGCCTTTTTCACAAGATGTTATTAATAAGCTGGACAAACTTTCGGTTCTTAGGCTCAGTGTCAGCTACCTGAGAGCCAAGAGCTTCTTTGATGGTAAGACAAAAACGTTTAATTTGTCTGTAACAACTCACAAAAAATGCTTATGTTAAATGTGGTTGTTTCTGTATTAATAACTACAACAATTTGCCAGGTGTGAAAAAGTTCTGTTTGTTCCTGAAGAGGAAAACTTAAGTGGCAAAACCAAATTTATAAGTACTAAAATCTGTTTTCCAGCCTCATTCATCAAACAGATGTAACCACTTAAATGATACATGGTATTCTTTGAAAATGATTTATTTAGAAGTTACACTCAAATTGAGTGTGTTCAATTCCATTTTCTTTTCTCCTTCCGATTCAATTTTTTAGTCTCTTTTTTTTTAAAGCAAAGAGTAAAACACATATTAACGCTCTGATACTGTGATATTGCTGGATATTCTATTTCTATAGATATGTTATTTCATTTATCCTTTCAAAGTTATGTATACTTCTAAACCTTCATGTTAGTTGTATGTTTATTGCAGGAAAATATAATTTAAAAAGTTGTTTCCCTGGAGAGAACACTTTATTATAGGAGTCAAGAGAATTGGATTTCATTTTCCGTTGTGCCTCTGACAAACTATTTGACTTTAACAAATCCAGGTAGCATCTCTGTGCCTCAGTTTCTCGGCTGTAAGGTTTGGGGTCTTAAATTAGGTGGCTAGATGATACTTATTACCCTTTAATGATATACATTTCTTCTTCATAAAGTATTTTAAATAGAAATTTTTGTTTGAAAATAATGTTTCAATGTGTTTCTGTCTTGTAAAATAATTTATTGATTTCTCTTTTATCTCTTTACAAGGGAGAGAGATTTTCAAGGAAATGGTCTTTTGAAAATGTCATGTTATTTTACAAACTAGTAAATTAATGATAGAATCTCAGTGACATATCACAGTCAGTGCTTTTCAAACTTTAATGTATTTACAAATCACATAAGGATCTTGTTAAGATGTAGATTCTTAATCAGTAGCTTTAGGTGTGGCTGGAGATTTTTACATGTCTAACAAGCTCTCTGATTATATTGATCCTACTGTTCTAGGTCACTAGGAGGTAGTTAGACAACAAATTTACAGATAGTTGAATTTGTAATTTGTGTTTAGAATATCGCAAAACAGTTAAATTCCCTTTAGGTTTATGTTTACATGGTTTGATGTGTTTAGTCTGAGCATCTTTTTATTTATTTGTTTGCTTGCTTGCTTATATCTTTCTTAAAAGCTATGTAGTTTAACAATTGTAGTTTGGGTGGTATATAATGATTCGAAGGTAGTGACTTCAGGCAAGATTATACACTTAAAAATTTCATAGTAGACGCTTAAATTTTCTCTGATATAGATAAAAGTTTTTGCATTTTCAGGTTCATCTATATTACACCCTTCATCCTGGAGATGAGTTGTGCAATATTCAGTGGTGTGTCTGTGTGTGTTAGGCTGCTGTAGTCATTTTGTGATATTGTGGTAGTGGTATCCAGGTTTCCAGATTCTTCCTTACATTTTTTTCCTGACCATATCCTAATTACTTCTCTTCAAGGAACCATTACAGAGCAAAGCGCTGAGGTCTTTTCTCTAGATCTGTGGTTCTTAAACGTGCAGACCCCAGCCAACCAGCATCAGTATCACCTGGGAACTTGTTAGAAATGCAGTTTCTGGGGCTCCCCGCTAACCTTATGGAATCTTAGGTGGAGGTCCCCTGGTGGTGGGGCTAGATGCATGTTGAAGTTTAGGAGCCACTGACATAGCTTGCAGTGTTGACCCACTCCTGGGTTCATGGAATGCTGTCCTGATCCTTACCATTTGTTGGCATGCTTGCTTTTAGTGCCTGGCCTTATGGTGGTGAATTTTATGACAGAAAAGATGTGATCTCTGTCCTTAGAGAGTTACAATCTGGAAGCTAGGGAGGCATTATTCCTTGACTCTGATAAAAATTTATTGACTTGAGTCATTTTGCCTTTCTATTTTCTGCTCCTTTTTAATGGAGAAAATCAAATTATATATGTAAAGGAGGGGAAAATACGCCTAAGTTTTCTCTGCTTAGAAGTAGTAGAACAGAACTGAAGTTGCTTTGAGTAGCTAGTGTTCCAGTTAAGTACTAACGTAATTACTGCCCTTTAAGGCAGATGCATACATATGTGTGTATGAAAACACACACGCTTATACATGCATTTATATAGTAATGCATACAATATATATTATATATATAAATACACAGAGACACACATGTAATTAGACATGTGTTCTGTTATTTGATGCCTCAAGTAAAAGAGATTCCAAAGTTTATCTTATACAGAATGTCATAGCTTATCACGGGTTCTTGTTAAAAAGTAGGTTCTCAGCCGGGTGCGATGGCTCACGCCTATAATCCCAGCACTTTGGGAGGCTGAGGCGAGAGGATTGCCTGTTCGAGACCAGCTTGGGCAACATGGTGAGACCTTGTCTCTACAACAAATCAAAAAATTAGTTGGGCATGGTAGCGCATGCCTGTAGTTTCAGCTATTTGGAAGACTGAGGCAGAAGGCTCTCCTGAGCCCATTAGGTCGAGGCTGCAGTGGCCGTGAGCAGCGTGCCACTGCACTCCATCCTGGGCAACGGAGTGAGATTCCAACTCAAAAAATAAACAGATTCTCAGCTCTTCATTAATTAGTTTGCCTGTTTTTTTTATTATGATTCAGTGCATTTGCCAGTAGGATCTTATTATCTATTTGTATCATTCCTTCATCAGCTATATTATCTTTTATAAAAGAAATATATATATTTATTTGTTTATTTTAGTTTCAGAGGTCACACATGCATATTCTGTACATGGACATATTATGTAGTGGTGGGGATTGGGTCTCAGGTGGCCTATTCCCCAAGATAGTGAACACTGTGCCCCATAGGTAGTTTCTAAACCCTCACCCCTTCTTCCCTCCCCTCTTATTAGTGTTCCCAGTGTCTATTATTTCTATCTGTATGACCATTTAGCTTCCACATATGAATGAGAACATATGGTGTTTCGTTTTCTGTTTCTGAGTCAGTTTACTTAAACTGAGTCAGTTTAATGATCTCCAGCTCCATCCATGTTGCTGCAAAGGACATGATTTCATTCTTTTTTATGGCTGTGTAGTAATGGAATTATTTGCTTTCTTTCTTGCTGATTTTTTTAAGTTCTTTATAGATTCAGGATATTAGTCCTTTTTCAGATACATAGTTTGCGAATATTTTCCTCCTATTCTGACCAGAGAGGTGAAAGATCTCTATAAGGAGAACTACAAAACTGTGATGAAAGAAATTGCAGAGGACACACACAAAGGGAGAAACATCTCATGCTCATGGATTGGAAGAATCAACATTATTAAAATGACCATATAACCCAAAATAATTTACAAATTCAATGCAATCCCTATCAAACTACTAACATTTTTCACAGTATTAGAAAAAAAGAATCCTAAAATTCCTATAGAAGAAAAAAAGAGTCAGAATAGCTAAAGCAATCCTAAGCAAAAAGAACAAAGTTGGAGGCATCACATTATCTGACTTCAAATTATACTACAAGGCTGGTAACCAAAACAGCATGGGACTAGTACAAGAGCAGACATGTGGACCAATGGAAAAGAATAGAGAATCCAGAAATAAACCCAAATATCTACAACCAACTGGTCTTTGACAAAGCAGACAAAAACATACACTGGGGAAAGAATGCCTTATTTAACACATGGTGCTGGGAAAATTGGATAGGTACATGCAGGAAAATGAAACTTGATCCCTTCTCTCCCCATATACAGAAATTCACTCAAGATTAATAAAGACATAAATGTCAGACTTGAAACAATAAAAATCCTAGACAAGAAAACCTAGGAGAATCTCTCATGGACATTGGCTTAGGTGAAGAATTTATGACTAAAACCTCAAAAGCAATTGCAACTAAAACAAAAATAAATAAGTGGGCCCTAATTAAGTTTCTGCACAGCAAAAAAAAAAAATATATTATCTTTAATTTTAGATCCTTTACTGTTTTTCAAACTTCAGTGTGCACATAAGTTACCTAGAAAGCTTGTGAAAATGGACATTCTAAGGTATGCCCCTTATGTGCTGGTTCAATAGATTTGGTAAAACCCAGGAATCAGTATTTTAATAAGCATGTTACAGAGTTGAAGGCAGTCTGGCCTTGAATATGCCCTGAACTAGTTTAAAAAAACTGTTTTCTTTGGCTTCAGAAGGACAAATCCAAACATACAAAACTTTAAGACAATCAATGTGTTTGCTTGGGTTTTAATTGTGTGTTCATTGTAAGCAGTTTCTTAGGTTGTTCAATATACAATCATGAAATTAGATGGAAAGTGAAAATAATTTACTAAAAACAAAATCCCCAAATCTCCAGATCACCAGTGGTATGTAAAAGCAATGCAGCATTTCGGAGTACACATTTAAGGGTAAAAACTTAAGGCTAACCGGTATGAACTGAACAATGCTAAGTGCAAATGAAGAGACTTGGAGCGTGCTGACAATGATTAGGATTTTTATGTGCAGCTAGACCCACTCTCCCACTATTAGGGAAACAGTATAGTGAAGTGAAGGGAAGCTCAAAGTGAATAACAGGATGCAAACGGGGGGGGTGTGCAAATTCCTGCGGAAAGAACAATATAAACGAGTAATCATACAATCTTGTTAGAAAGGAAACTCAAGTTTTACTATAACAATAGATATTTTTCCAAGAAAATACATCTATTTATTGCAAGTTTAAATAATCCAACTTGGATGGATCTTCTTAAACTTTGGAACCATGACTCTACTGCTATTACTGTCTGAAAAGCAGCACTTTTTAAAGTATATTAATATTTATCCATTTTTAATTAATGTAAACATTCTAAAATATAGCTTTAAAGTATTTGAACAGGCTTTAGTCGTTTTTCAGTTATGGTACAGTTCAGAGCAGCTTCTTTGATACTATTTGCATGTTAAACTCAAAAATCACTTTGTCTCTGAGATGGAAAATATTTTAAAAGTTTAAATATATTAAGAACTATGATCAGTAGTAGTTTG